CAGTGAGGCCTTCTCTTTAAGCTGCGCTCCCAGCGGTAGCCTCAGGTTTCCCTCGAAACCCTTTGGCGTTGGCTTGAAATTCAACTCACTGAGATTATAGACTCGAATCAGCAAATTCTTGAGCACTCCGCCCCAGGGCAGTGATGGATTCATTTCTTCATTTATTCTACAAAACGACAAAGAAAATTTAATTTTCAGAACCTTAACTCTTGACTCTTGAGTCTTGCTGACAGCAGACTGCAGGAGTCAAGGAGTCAAGTTGATTACACTCCTTTAATAACACTTTGCACACATAACACAATGCACACTTTGGCTTGCTCTTAAAGTGCAAAAAACTAATACAAAACTTTGGACTGGCAGGCAAACACCCGCAGGTTTGGCCGTGCCCTCGGTGTGACTCACCTTAATTGCATTTTGTAGGAACGCAGCGTATCGTGCAGTTGGCTCGCCTGCTCCTTGCGCAACTGCTCGCTGGCCTGGATGGAAAAACTGATGTTGATGGTGTCGTTGGTGAGCATTTTGGCTGCAGTCAGCACTTTGGGCGGGGTCGGCGCCAGCTGGCAGGAGCACTTTCCGGCCACACATTCTACGGGAATAACAGAAAAGTTAGCTGGCTCATAGTTCAGAGCGCGCTAGCAACAATTTTGCTTGGCACGCACGTGGAATAAAGATGCGAGTGGAGCGCCGGACCAGGGCATTTGATGTTTCCACGGTGACTTTGTAGTGGCAGCCGAACATGTAGTTGCAATCGACGGACTCCACGTTCAGATTGGGGTTGAGCGGCAGGTAGACATAAGTGGATGGCTTCTCCTTGATGCCGTATTCGCTGCACGGCGCATCCGGACATCGTGTGTTGTTCACGGCACTGACAAGGACATTGTAGGAGGTGCCTGGCAAAGAGCACGCAATTAAATTGTGGATCATCACCAAACGGATTAACTCACCTTCGGGCAGGTTGTCCTGCCAGCGCACCTGTATGCGCGGTATCTTCTCCATGTACAAAGTGACGTTGGTGCTCAGTTCCGTTATTTCCCCAGATGGCATTGTCTGTGTGGACACACACAAGTGATGAACATTATGCTACACAAACACGATAATAAATACCCACATTGATGCGCATTCTGGTGCCTGCAGTCTCCCCTCTTGGCTGTGCATCTGATGTTATTTGGCCCTCATTGCTGCTGCTGCTGCTGCTCGTTTCGGACATTTTTAATTGAACATTTGGCTGGGGGCTCTCCGAAATTGTAACCATTGTAGTGCTCTCCACTGCAGTGGCATGTGTACTGGCACATGTCCGCACCAATATCAGCACGAGCACCACCCATTCCTGGATGGTGATGCTAATGCCAATTGTATGAGAGAGCCGCATTTTGAGAGTTTGATCTGCTCATAGTTATGTGTGTGTATTGGGTTCACTGCAAGGCAAAATGAAACAAAGGCAATGAAATCCAATACGAATTTAGTTTGGTCATACAGTTTTCATATAATAAATTGCAATACTGTATGATTATACGTATCCAGGAATGCCTCTAGGGGGCTAAGCTGTTGAGCTAATTAAATCTATTTGCCTAGACTGAAGGATAGACAGATAAATGGATGGTTTTCCAACAACTGATTAATGCTGAACAACAACATTTGGCGTAGTAAGAGCAAGGCACTGGGAATTGTAAACGACTGATGTGCGTTTACTGTTATGTGCAGAGCATGCAGGGATCAATGTAAAGGTTCGAGCGGGACAACTAGTGTACACAGCAATATGTGTGCGGTGCATTCCTGATCTGCTACCTGCTTTCTGCTGGGTTCTCTCTCCCAAAGCTTTGAGCACTCTCTTGCAAAAAAGTTCGTAGTGGCAAGTCGTAAAAAAAAGTTTAAGAAAGAAAAATAAAAAGGAAATTATTTTAATATTAAATTTCGAGGAAAACCAGCCCGAAACATAAACAAAAAAAAAAGTGCACTGAAGCACAATAAATATGTATATGTATTGTTATATGCTAAAATTTTACAGTTGGGGTGCTCTAGCTCGACAGAAGCAACAGTGATAGAAAAATGTGCAGCAACAGGAGTTAAAAAATGTTCGAACAGGATGCAGTGATGTGCACGCAACCTCCCCACGCCAACCCCCCTTTACGACAGTCTGTACCGTGCAAGTGACGGATCTGATGGTTTTACGTGTGATATGGCTGTCACGTGCTTACGCCGTCTGTTCAGAGCTGTTCCTCAAGGTTTCTGCCACGTGATAAAACAGCTTGTTTGTTGCAACATTAATCCACCCTTGTTTGAGACGACTGACTGTCTGCTCGTGGAGCTATGCCCCTTAGCCCACCATCGAGGCGGTGTACTGCAAGAATCGAGCTACTTACACCGAAAACTTGACCTCTCCTTAAACCCACTGCACGGGGATGTGACGTCCATTTTAATGTTCATTTTCCTCTGAGTTATGCATATTTTATCAAACCTTCAAACGCCTTCAGGCCTGCAGGTGATGCACAAGCTGAGACCATTGTTTGTCTTGCAAGTGAGAGCAAAAGCGCTGAGGTTCGTTGGGTTTCAGTTCCCAGAAGAGTGTAATCAGGCAACAAATTTGTCTGTTGTCAGTTCTTTACTATGCAAAGTAGCTTCTCAGAATTGCATGCTCCCCTTTTATGCTTTTGCCTCTTTAGGGTCCATTCCATCTAGCATTCCATCTCAGCACCTCTAAGCCAAAAGTACCTGAACATTTTAACGAAAAACAACTCTACTTTTCGTTCAAAGATTCTAAGTAGATTATATATTTTCGCTCTCATTTTGAGACAGAATTTAATCAATAATACTCTTGATGGGTTGTTTTCGTACGCCATTGAGTCGAAGCTGAAATGTCATTTGCCATATGCCTGTGGGCGGTGGCGGTAGTTCGACTTACACAGGGTTTGCCCAGCCCCCAAATACCTTTAACATTCCCATCAAAATGCTAAACGTTCCTGTTACGACCGTAATGCCCAAAATGCGAGCACAAAATGTGTCATTAAAATGCGAATGCAAACAAAGTCAGAGAGAAGACACAAGGACAGGAGTGCGAGAGAGAGAGAGAGAGGTGGGAAAGTGAGAGAATGAGATGCAAACACTAATTATCAAATTTCCGGGCAATTAATTAGAGGGCCTTCCGTGTGCATTGTGTCGTATTGGTGTCGAATTACAACGATTGAGCGTCATTTGTCCTTGTGGCGACATAAAAGCTTTGGTTTTCATGAGGTGTGAGAGGTCAAACATATTTACCGCAGATTTAATATGTATTTCATATAACAAATTACAAACTAATAAGATCAATTCCTAATAAGCAGCCAGCCAGCCCATTCTCTGCCAAACATTTCTCTTTGTCAGGAGTTTGTGCAAAATTCATTAGAGAAGTAAAACTCGGAAGTTGACTGCACACAAAGTTACACAGTTGTTGACAAAAACAAAAGCTCGTCATGGGTAAACACAACTCTTTACAGCTGATTGCACACTAGCTCATACATACATATGAGTGTGCCTGTTGGAGATGCACACGGGCTGGGCACGAGGGAGCACAATTGCCCCTTCCAATACCATGTTCCAGTGCGTTTTGGTTGCATCGTGCTGCACGGTGCGCGTCTCGTGTCACACGCTCATCTCTAGCGCCCATTAAAGTGTCTTTCGCTCTCTCTCTCTCACTTCTTTCTCACTTCTTTCTCACTTCTTTCTCTCTTATCTTTGCCCATTATAAGCACCTCTCCTGATCATTACGGCACCCATCATCGTTGCCATTGTGTTGACAAGACTTTGGCCATGGACTTGCTCGTACATTGGCAATTTGCCTAAGCGACCCAAAGTAGCCTGCTCGACCTGAGTGCTTTGGGTTTTAGAGTGGTCAAGTCTGAGTGGTAATGACTGAAGTGTGGCTGATGTTCAAACAAAAGCACTCGAATTATTTTGATATAATTTAATATGAATATTAACATCTGCCAGAGCTTTGCGACAGTTCTGCTTTAACATGGCAAATTATATACATTTTCTCCAAAGAAAAATATGTTGTGGCCCAGTGGCCACAGCACAACTGTGCGGATATTACGAGGATTTCTGGTAATCAAAACCATATTACCGCATGGGAAATTAAATTCTGGCCTGGCAAACACACAGCGGCTGCTCGTTTATGAAATTAAATGTGTAGCGTAGCGTAATTAGTGCACACTCCAGCAAAGTGATTCCCACTCTGATTAAAGTACACCAAAATTAGTTTTAGAAATGCCACAAAACTAATCGACAGACATTACAGATTTATCGATAAGCAGTGAATAAAGTTTCTATTAGAAATGATGGAAACCCCCACAGATAAAGGCAGGACACACCTGCTGGCTGCTACCTGTTACACCTGCTGGCCCGCAGTGTTTATCGATTGTCCACAAATAAACGAATAATAAAACTAATGCTAGCAGTGGCAGTGGCAGTGGCAGGACGCTTTCTTTGCATAACGATGTGTCAGCAATCCCCCCAAATGGTATCCATAAATAATGAACAAATATATAAGAGTGGGTCCCACTCCCAATCGCATTCAAAAAATAACAATCAGAATGATTCAGCAGTTCGGGCTTTATATTAAATTTATGCTTAGACTATTCTCCCGCAGTATCTTGAAAAGCCATTTTCAGTTTTGGCTGCGGAAAAGGTGGCAAGTTGGCCTGGGACTTCGGAGCACGGACTTTTGCACGTGTCTGACGCGTTGCCAGCCACTTAACGAGACAAACATCCGACGTGGGTTGGGATTAATGTACGCGCTTATAAATGATAATACCAACAGAGCTAATTGTTGACATGACATTAGCGGAGGGAATGGCAAACGGCAAACGGCAAAAGGCAGGCGCTCTACCAGGTGAAAGCCGGGTCATAAATCAAGCCATGTCAGCGTCATTTTTATGGGCTACAAGCTTTAGGGGAGTGTTTTGTTTTGGTTTAGCGCCAGCAGCAACCAGGCCACCGCCCCCCCCAACAACAGTGGACAAAACAAGAACTAAACACTGAACTTTATTCGCCAAGGTTGCAAGAGCAACATCCTACTAGCAGCTTAATCATACATGGAGCGCCCTTTGGTCTCCTCCACAAACACCACCACATAGAAGAGACACAGGGCACAGACAGAGGCGCTGAACCACATGGTGGCTGCGAGGCCAAAGTGGAACATCATCAGCGGAAAGGTCTTCAGCGAGGTGAAGGCAAAGAAGCTCAGGCAGCCCAAGCAAATGCTGGTGGCCACCGCGCGAATCTTCTGCGGCAGCAGCTCCACCAGCACCACCATCGTGACGGAGATGACGCCCACATTGGCGATGAAGATGATCAGAGCCATCAGGCTGACGGGCAGCCAGGAGGCATAGGCTGAGAGATCAGCATCCGTTTCCTCCGCATAGAAGGCGTACAGCCCGAAGCCAGCGGCACCCAAGCCACTGCCCGCGCAGGACACCACCAGCAGGATCTTTCTGCCATAACGATCCACCAGATACATGCTGGCCAGTGTGCCCACAATCTGCACGGCGCCAATGATGATTGTGTTCGTGTTTGGGTCCAGCTGCGTGTGCACCGCATCGAAAATGTTGGACATGTAGTTGATGAAGGCAAAGGTGCCGGTAAAGATCTGAGCAATCATCAGCATCAGGCCCGTGGCCATGGCTTTGAGTGCGCGCTTGTTGCCTGTGTGTCAAAAGTGAATCAACCAAACTCCAACCAAAGTCTCGAATCTCCAATGAAAACTTACAAAAATCCGCCATGGAGAGGCCCACGTTGCCGGCATCCTTGCTGCGCTGCTGTATGGCCAGTCGCATTTCATCAAACTGCTTTTGGTACTCGCGTTCCTGCTCCTTGGTTACCTGTGGACCATCGCAGTGGCGGTAGTACTTGAGCGCCTTTTGGGCCTCCTCCTCGCGCGACCAGACGAGCAGCTGCTGCGGCGTCTCCGGAAAGCGCGTGGCCAGAAACAGATAGAGTACGGGCAGGCCCACCACGGCACAGGGTATGACGTGATAGGGTATGTGGGAGGCGACAATAAAACCCACCATAATGCCCGTATTCATGGTCAGGGTGAAGAACGAGCACAGACGCCCACGAATGCTGTCCGAGGAGCAAAAGGAAGAGCAGAAACAGAAACAGAAACAGAAACAGATGAAGGGCTTCTCTCGGCAACTAAAAACAATTCCACTTGATGGATGAATCGATGCGTAGGCTGGACAGAACAAGTACTTGAAAGCGAAGAGCTGATGACAGGGATATGGCATCACACAGACTCACACTCACCTGTTGTCGGCTATTTCCCCAATAAAAATGGGCAGCACCACGAACATGCCACCGCCAGTGAGGCCCGCGCACACACGCGCCACATACAGCCACTCGATGCTGCGGGCAAAGTAGAACAGGAACCAAATGCACTGTAAACGGAGGAGCACACGACACCTTAAGTTGGGGTCACCTTAGGTTGGGGAGCAAAACGCACCGTATTGGGCAGGGCCAGGGCATACAGCGACACCTTGCGCCCGAAACGATTCATCAAGAAGGAGAAGGAAAAGTTGCCGCTAATGCCGCCAAGGCTGATGGCAGCACCCAGCCATGAGGCCTGGCCCACATCGATGAAAAAGTCCAGCGGTGTATCCTGCTCGGAGAGCAGCTGCGGCAACATGGGTGACAGCCAGCCCAGGGCAATGCCATGGCAGAAGGTTATCAGCGTGGCTACAAGTAGATCAACAAATTACATCATCCGCATAATGGGCTCCACACTCATATGTGACACCCACTCAGGGAGGGGGTTTGCCAAGTCAACAGCTCAAGTAGCTCATTTGCATAGAGGCAGCGGAAGCACGAAATTGAATTTTGACCCGTCAAAGTCGTATCCTGGGAGCAGCAGGCAGTGTGGGGAAGCCTCAATGCTGTGCAAAGGCTTCATTAAATCTCAAAGTTCTAAGCAAACTTTGAGCCTTATTGAACCTGCCAGAGCATCGCACAAAACTTTCCATTCTTTAAGCGATTCCGTAGATCTTTTTTATCACATACCACTCAGCGTAACCAGCAGCTGGCGACGAAATTGCCACTCGAATATGCCCGATTGGAATATGCTGAGCAACATCTCGCAAATTTGTTTCTAGCCTAACTAACTTTTACTCCTTTATTTTAACAAACTATTCTCCACACTTTTGTATCACAGTTCGGTTCACACCTCAGACCGCTGTCTGCTAAGTAACTTTGAAACACTTTCTGGAAAATCTGAAACTGTGATATCCTCTTTCCATGCTCCAGTCTGACGTCTTGTGCCTTTGTTGGTGGTTCCAAAATGACTTGTGAAATAGCCTCCGGTGCCTCATTTATACTCGAGTGTGTCTCTGTACCATATCTCTCTCCTCTCGTATCTAAATCTAGGCGTAAACATTTACAAGTATTTCATCTAAAACAGCAAGGTATCACGCAGATGCTTCTTGGCTTGCTAAAAAGTGCTTTTCCCCACAGCTTTTTGGATTCTGTTGTTCTTTTTATCACTACTGCCAGTCGTATATCATACCCAGGTATATTGGGTAGTCAAAGTCAGCCGTCTCCGGTTCCTTGGTTACTATCTCAAGTTCGTGAAACATTTGACAACGGAACTGACGCCACTGGAAAACAGCTGCGGCTTCTCCGGTGTATGTGTGTGTGTGTGCGTGTGAATTTACCGTTTCAGCTGGAACTTTGATGCATGGCAAAAAAAGTTGCCCTGACCTAGGTGAATCTATGGTTGTGGTGGTGCCAGTTGTAGTTGTAGCACTACGCGTAGTGCTAGTAAATTCCGCCACTTGGAGTCACACTGTTGTGACTTTTAAGCAGCCTCCGGTGGTCACACTGTTGTGTGTGACCAGCGCAAACACTGGAAAGAGCTTTCGGTAGGGTTACGCCCGCTACTGTTAAATTTTGCATTTAATTAAGTTATTTTTGGTGACAGATTTTGAGCAGCTTTTTCCGGCTTGGGGCTTGGGGGCACGCACAGCAAACACTTCCGCGCTTTGACATTGATGTGGGCCTGGCAGTTAATTTTTAGCACACACAAAAGACAGACCAGCATGACCCAGCGGCATTTTTAGAGTTAATTTAATAGAAAATTCACTTGATGATCGGCTGAACGTGACAGGACTCTCAGGACTAATCATTTCCCATGGTATCCAATCGTTTATTGGCATTTTAACTGCGCTTGTCACATTGCCTATGATGTGACGCATTTCATCAGCAGATAAGTTCTTTGGGGGGTGGCAGGCAGCAGGCAGCAGGCAGCAGGGGCCTGGCATATACAGCGTATAAAGTTCATTTAAAAGTCGTGTGATAAGTCCAAAGAACATTGCAATCAATAAAACTGCGTAGGCAGCCAGCCGGCCAGCCAGCCAGCCAGCTAGAGGGCACAGCCAGAGACTTTTCCAGATATTATACACATTAAATACAGCTTATTGATAGCTTCCAATGGGTCGGGTCGGGCCGGGCCTTTGGCTCGCCGAGGATTGCCCATGTCTGGCCGGGGATGACAGCCTAAGCTGTGTCGTGGCACAGACCAAAGACGTTGGAGAGTCATAAATTAAATGCTTGTGTTTTAATCAATTGATAAGTTTTCCATCCATGCCAACTTAATGCGCGGGCAAACACAAATAAAAGACAAATATTCGATGAAAAGGGAACATTGGTGGACGGGGAATGCTCCACACTTTGATGGGTTTTTAGTGGTAAATGTTTGTTCAGACAAAGTTGCCTAAAGAAGATAAACGAAAGGTAAAAGAACTGGGCTTTAAATCATTTTCAGACCTTCTTCTGATCACTGCCAAGAGCAACGACTTCAAACCCTTATCGCGGGTCTGTTCCACACTTTCGAGCACTCAATGTCCCCCAACTTATGTGTTACTCTTTTTGTTTTGGGTTTGTTTTTGGCAGCGTCACTTTTAGCACTTCTCTCTAATCGTTATCGCGCGCGGCGCAGCACTCGATTTATTGATAAGTTCAATTTGTTTTCCATTTTACGCCAACTTGAACAAATTGTTTTGGTTTCTGCTGCTACGATGGGAAAATGAACACACAACCAGGCCAAACCCCAAACCGAATTCAACCTTTTTTTTCCAGCCATTTGTCGCACGAAAAAAGCTTCGTAAATGCTGCCCTCGATCATGGGAAAGTGATAAATTTAGCATTTATTGATGATGGATAGATACAAGGTATGGTGTTATACAAAGAACCGACTATTCTTGGCTTTTCTTTGTTTGTAGTATTTTATTTCGGTGCAGACTTTGGACGATAAGAGACTGGACAGGAGGACTGGCCAATAAACCAAAAAAAACCGTGGATGAATGGCCACAAATATGATATTTATACTATGAGAAATTGCCCCCTGCATTGCCAAGTTCATATTATTTGCGCGAACTTTTAACGAGCTTGTACTTGATGTCCATTTCCCCGTAAAACCTAAATAAACATGCGGGATTATGCCGAATCCAATGGGTTCATTCGCATGCAAACAAAAGGCAGCCACTGCGGCATTGGGCGAATTCTCTTTTATACTATTTATGCGCCACACCACACGGCTGCGGTTAATTAAAAAGAGAATTTTATGCGGCACACAGCATGCCCCGAAAGGATAACGAGTTCTTGTAAAAAAGTGCAGCGGAAACAGAAGCTTGCGACTGTGTGGGTACTTTGTAGAAAAGTTCAATGAATATTTGTAGGGTCTCAGTAGATTTGTATGTTCATCAGCGCCGAAGTTAGTTAGCAATAATTCTGCTCTAACTTTAGCAGCTTAAATGATTTTGCTACACAATTTTCAAGCAACTTCTAAACTAAACTTCAAGCAACTTCTCTATTTTTTTGCACTCTGCTGTCAGTCAGCAGCCATTACCATAGACTCCATTACCATAGACTGCACAGACTCTTGAATCTGTGTTAAATAACTGAAAGAGAAACGACCAACTGTTGGCACGAGTTTTCGAGGAAAGAACTGCCAAAAAAATGCTCGTAAAATTGTTAAATTGTTTGATTTTCGATGTCCATGTGTTAAAAGTCGCAGGCGGTAGGAGAGTGTGTTTGTGTGTGTGTGTGTGTGTGTGTGTGTGTGCGTGTGTGCGTATCCATGTGTCTGATTCTGATTGTCCCTGAGTTTTTTTGTATATTTATTTTTCATATTCACCCGCATGCGGTTGACTTTTAAAGCTTTTCCAATGTCTGCGAACGGAGTCGAGCCGCGCCGAATGGCAATGACTATTTGTGAAATAATTGATGAGATATGAGAAGCACGGCACTACGCTGCCAGTACGTATATAACGCCATTTGGCTGTATTTGTTAGATAGTAAATAAAAAGCCCAACAAAAAGAAAAGCAATAAATAAGCGTAAAAACAAAGAGAAGCCGAACTATGACGTCTAGCCAACATCTGTGCGAATTTTGTTTGGAGCTCGGTTTGTGGGCACTCAAGAATGTAACGAATAATACAAATACTAAATATGCTTGAGACGAACTATGCGGAGTGCACAGAATGTAGAAATTAGTCGGAGCAAATTATTCATTGGGTGAAAGGTTGTGTGAAATTTGAATATATGTGAAACAAATTTGTTGGTCTGGAGGAAACAATTTCTTTGTAGAAGAACGTTTAAGTTGAGACTTTTGGGGGAGTTGGCAGCTGCATTCAACTATTTATTTATTTATGTATTTATGATTGTACATAGGTACTTGCAAATGTAATTGCTGCCCAAAAGTCTGCCTAAGCCACAGGATTACTTTTGTGCACCATTTTAGGGAGTGCAAATAATTAAACAAAACTAATTGGAACAGGCCTTTTTGGGGGTGAAGTCTTTGAGCAAATTGCTGCATGTTTCGGGCCAATCTGGCCAATTGTTTGGCCCTCTTTGACTCTCTTTTGGGCCGCAATTATTTATCAATTGTAGCGCGTGTTTAAGTTGATTAAATGCGGCTACTTAATCATGTGCTGACTCTACCCTGTGTATACAGTATGTATGGAATTATTTTTTGGCTGCCTTTGTTGACCATGCTCTCAATAATAAATAACATACAATACATGCTCTTAAGCTGTAATAAAACAAAGTGTCGTGCGAGAGGGAGAGGCGCAATGCCGCAAGAGTGCGATAATTTTTAGTTCGATAATTAGTGGAGTAACTAAACTGACAAAAGTACTATGTGCCAAGGCACTACATATAAGGAAACCCAATCGCACACACACACAAAATACTATTGAACAAATGGCGACACTTTGCTTATCACTTAAAGTGTCCGCTGCCGAATACAACAACAACAAAAGAGAAGAAAAAATTGTGAAAAATATAACCATAACCGTAACTGTAACTGTAGCGATCGAAGCAC